TTTTTTATAAAAATAATTAAAAATTTTTGTCTTTTCAAGAAATAATTTTCGTTTGCCAGCAAGTAGAAAACATAAAAATAATATTTGTGTTAAATGCGTTTCTTATATATGAACAAGTGCAAATGGCTTTAAAACTGTATAAGCTAATTTAAAACACACAAGTTAACAGCTGCGGAAGTTGCAAAGAAACTTTTATAATTCAAGCCAAAGCGTAGCTAAATTCAGCTAAATTGAAATTAAAAGCAAAATTTCAGGTCAAATGTTTGCCCAAAATTAAAAATTAAAAATTAATAACAAAGCAACAAACTGCATAGCAACAACAATTAAGAGCTTGTATGGGGTTCGGTGTTAGCCTCGCCCAACCACAACCCAAGTGACCATGCCCACAAAGTGAACTCATTAACCCACTTTGCACAGTTGGGCCAGAAATAAAAAAAATAAATAAAAAATAAAAAAAAAAGGAAAAAAAACTGTCTCATCTGGCTTATGAGTTATTTTCAGCAAGGCTATAAAGCGCGAGCAGAAATAAACTAAAGAAAAATTATAATTAGAAGAAGAAGAACAACCGATGCGATTTGCAAAATTTTTCCAAGCCAAATAAATAAGACGAACTACTTTGATTCAAAACAACAAAATGAAGAAGCGATGAAAAAACATATTCAAATTTATAAATAAGTTGGCAACACTTGCCCGCAAATTGGCAACGCGCAAATTGTCCAAAGTGTTGGCTCGACCAGCAATTTTAATGTGTTGCAAAGTTGCGCAATTTGTGCAGCAATTTTCAGCAGCTAAAAAATGAAAACTGGAGGGAAAACTGGAAGTTTCATATGTGGCGAAGCAAATGCTCTTTCTGAAACATATGTGAGTATACCTATTTGAAGTGCTTGAAATATTGAAGCGGAAATCGTGTTGAATGTAATTTTCGTAATTTTTTCATTCCATTTTTTTGCTGGCCATGTTAAGGGGCAAGTCGAGTATGCCTTGGCCGCTAAGGAAATGCAAGACATCATACAAAATTGGAATAGGAAAAACAATCTTAGGGAATTCGTATTGCTGAAATAGAAATTACCCTATAAAGTGAATGGCATTTATAAAGAAAAGACTTCATCTAAAAGAGTGATGAGAAGGATATACCAATAGAGGTTTCAGCATATGATATATGTATATATGTGTATGTATAAAATAAGGAAAATATATATAGAATCTATGGAATGTAGAGAAAAAAGGAGCGAGTATTGACAGAATGSCGAGTGAGAGAGAGAGAGGGGTAGAGAGTGAGAGAGAGAGAAAGACTAATGCACTGAATAGAAGCACAAATTTTAGGAGAAAAAGAAAGAGACTGTGATTATGTGTGATAGAGAGAGTGACAGAGAGAGCAGGCAATAGCGATAGTGTGTATGCGAGAGAATGTGAGAGACAGAGAGAGAAAAAAAAGCGACTATTGACAAAATACAGCGAATTTACCGAGCGAGGCAGAAAGAGAGAGAGAGAGAGAGAGAGAGAGAGAGAGAGACAGAGTAATGCATTGAATAAAAAGAGTAATTTTAGGTATTTTAATTTTTATTTTAAAAGTACTTTGTGGTCTTTTATAGGAATTTTAATCAATTTTAAATAAATCTAGCAGCAACATACATATTTTAAAAAGTATAATTAACAACGTTTATCTGCCCATCTCTGGCATACCCGTGTCATGCCATTCGTGCAGGGTATAAAAACAATTTGAGCAATGCAGTTGGCGTTGATTTGTTTGATGCAGTGGCTTTTCGCATTTGATTTCATTGATGCAAATTGAAATTGGCATCAAAAGTGGCAAAATGGCAGCCGAAAATTGTAGCCAAATGTGGCAGCAGGTGCAAATCAGCGACATTAGAATGTGGCATGAGTCGAGCAACTGCAGCAGAAAATGGAGTATTTAAATGCCTGACTAAGAGACAGCTTATGTCAAAACTAACTAACTAAAAACAAACAGAAAAAAAAACTCAAAGTTATTAACCCAAATTGTAGTTGAACAAGTTTTCAAAAGCTTCGCTCGCATTAAAATGATAGAAGCAAAAACAAAAAATGTATTTAAATAAAAAACAACGCACCGAGCTGACAGTTAATTATAAAAACGATCAAGGTAATGACATGTAATCAGCAATAAAATAAAAGCGAAAACCACAGCGGMGAAGCGGTTTAAATAAAACATGTTTAAGGTCACATTTGGTGTTTTATTATTATTATTATATTTACTTTTTTTTATATACAAAATCAATTGCCAATGTGCGCTAATATTTGGCCAGTTGTACGTCTCAGCTAGGTAACCTTGATATGCCCAATTTCTCAGGTTCCGTTAAATGAACAGCAACAACCACTTTGAAAACCACTCGCAATTTTTGTGTAATTGAAACGCCGACCGGAAATTGATTATTAAATTTTGTCTGTTTTCAAGTCCCTTAAAATACTTTTGCTCTCTTTTGCATTGTCTTTGTATATATATATGTATATATATCATAAATATGATAAGGTTTGCAAATACATATACATGTATTTGTATATAAGAATTGTTGCACAAAAGCCGAAGTTTAGATACTCTATATCGATGAAATCGTTTCTTTATGTGAGCTTTATAATGTTAGCTTCGTTCTCAACAAAGTAAAATCTAACCTTCCTTTCATTCATTAGGTCTCTCGCTCTCATTCCCTCTCTCTTTCCAACACTCTGAGAAACTTATTCCATTTAGTCTATTGCTTCAGTTTATATGAGACTGTTTAACATTTTTGCGGCAACTAAAGGTAAAACAATACCCTAACATTCTTATATTTATTTTTAATTTGTAAATATGCTTGCAAATATTAGCTAAATATACAGCACGTATAAGCTCTAGATTAGATACTCAAGGAAGACAAGGTTAAGCAAACAAGAGAATTTGCTAAACTTGGTCATAAGAGAACTTTTTCGCTAACAAATTTAAATATATAAAATTTAATAAACAGAAATTCAAGCTAAAATTCTTATCTCTAAAGAGTTGATTTAGCTTTAATTTGTCTATAAAAGAATTCAAGCTAAATCTATTAACATCATGTACAACGATTTAGTCGATTTATTTTATTTCATTTACTCATCTTTCAAAAGTTCATTTAGCTTTAATTGATTTAAAAGACAATTCAAGCTAATTGAAAAAGATTTATTTTAAAATTCCCAGAAAAACATTACTGTTCGTATATATAATAATATAAGCTTGTATGCTTAAACATACCTATTCCTCTTTCATTTAGATGTATATCAAATATCATACTCTTCTCAAAATATTATCAACTCAACATGATTCTATATATAGCATTTACCCAGACATTTCAAATGACAAGCTCTCGTGTTGATCAAGAGAACCCGGTGCAAAAAAAAAAGCACACCTGTGGCGTCAGCTACCCCCGCTCAAACCCTTGCTCTGGCTCACCATTAAAATACTTCAGTTAGAGGCACGCTCATTACCCCTCGTCGTGCTCCCCTTTGCCGTCTGTCACGCCCTGTTGCCCCATCTCTTTTACGCTCATTGCGTTCCGCTTGGTTTGCAGCTGAGAATTTTGTTTCACTCGCAAAGGGCATTAAAATATACGAGGGGCCAGAGGGCGCACGTTACATGCAATGGCAATTCGCATAAATAAAAGATTTACATTTAAATTTTATATTGTACTATTTTTTGTGAAATGACATAACTAGAAAGTTTTGCTAAAACTGTTGATTATGTGAATAGGTTAGCTTAAGAGTGAGAGAGACGGAAAGCGAGAGAGACGGTTCATTACTCTAGTTTATGTTTGTTATTGCATATTATTAAATTCGGCTTCAATAATA